TATATTTTAAACAGCTGCTCTGATGAATGTGTGATTATAGTGAATCAGTCAAAAAAGACTAGTCAGGCGTTGCACTCTGATGCTTCCAGAAACACATGACTGATGGCCGTCAATTAACAAGAGCACACTGAGGGCCTGGCAAACCTGAAACCACAAAGAAAGTTGACAGGTTGACTTGTTGAAATACATAAAAAAACTCGGAGTCCAGAAGGTGACACATGCAATTCTGGAAAAGTGTGAGAGTTAAAATGTATATAAAATATTACAAAGATCCAAGCCATTCTAGAGTATTCATATTCTAGAATGTTTATTGAGAGTAAGAGAAAATAAAAGGAAGAGACAGTTGCAAAAGACAGATGAAAAATTTAAAATTGGTAATGGCACACGAGTGAAATGGTGGTGGGAAGTCCATAGGGATTATAACCGAAATGGAAAAAGGCACAAAATAATGTAAAAATAAACTAATAAATACAAATATATAGATAGATAGATAGCTTGAGAAGAATTCAGAGCCTGTAGCAAATCACTATAAAATGTGGGCTGGCAAAGATTTTCTGTAAATGTTTCAGGTTTTGCAGGTCCTATACATTTTATCTCAACTGCTAACACTGCTTTTGTGGTGCAGATGCAGCTAGACAATAGGTAATTGAATGTGTGCTGCTGTGTTCCAATAGAACTTTGTTTGGGGGTGCCCTAGGGGGTTAAGTCTCAGTGCTATCACCCTAAGGCCTGAATTCCATCTCTGGCAGGGTAGCTAGCTTACTTGTGGCATCACAGACCTCTCCTGTCTCTCCAGCTGCTCCCCTCAGCAGTGTATTTCAGTACATCTGCCTGTTCTGCTCCCTACTTTGTCTCTGGTGAATACACACACACACGAAAAACAAACATAAAAACTTTGTTTAGAAAAACAAACAGGGGAGGGGGGCAGACATACTCAGGCTGCACCATGCAAACCTGTTCTCATTCATATCCGCCCTCTCTCTCTTCTCCACCCCGCCCCTTTCTGCTTGCATGTCTGTGCATGTAAGGTGAGAGAGCGATGGATAGCTATATATATATATACACACAGAATGAGTAAAAGTATGGGTAAAAATGTGTGCATGTAATTAGTAAATGATTCCATAATTATTGTGAAGAGACGACTTTTCATATGTTTGGTCCACTACCTGTCTGGGGGTATGAGTGAGTTCAAATAGAGGCATGAATATTATGTTCCAGCTCCCCAGGTGATTCTAAGGTGCAGCATGTTTGACAGCCAAAATGCTAAAGAGTATTCTCAAGATACACAGGGCATAGTCATCACCTAGGATCTTGTTAGAATGTGTATTCTGATTCAGTGGTTCTGGGTTGATTACTTGGGGGGTGGGAACCTATCAGATGACACTGAGTCTGCCTTCTGGGAACATTTTGAGCAGCAAGGTCTGGTTCTAATATGCAGCAAAACTTCACAACCTCCGTGCTAAACTGCAGGGAGCTTGATCAGTTTTACTGGTTATGTTATCAGTTGCCCTCTGTTTATCCTGCCTTTCCAAATCACCCATTCCTTTTGTTGTCAGATCCAAATATCCAGTTGATGGTGGGGGTGAGGATTACTTCATTCTTTTTGTTCTTGTCCACCTCGGAAAAGTGGGAGGTCATTCAGGACAGAAAGAGGAGACTCTGGCAATCTGGGTTTCCGTAGAATAGACAGTGTTGTCGGAGGTGATTTAAAGGGACAGCTAATTAAAACAGAATGGGCAGGGGTGCAGTTTACCTGGAGTGTTGTCATAGTAAAATTCACCTTTAGTCTTGGGCCTGAGTTTGGATCAGTGAAAACAGTTTACCCTCCCGAATCCTGACTGCACCTGACAGCCAAGCAACTAGGAAGATATTTTTCTTTTCAGCATGCAGTTGGTCAAAATGCAAGAGAGCCCTCCAGTGGCAAAATATGGATATGAAATCTTATCGCAATGCATAAACACAAAGCTAAAAGTAGTGGGCAATAGTGATGACATATGATGGTTTACACATAAGGTACCATTGTAAGCATTTAAAAAATATTGACTCATTTAATTTTCTGAGCAACCCAGTAGGATAGATGCCTTTTTTTTTTTTAAACTGACTTGAGGAATCGGAGGCCCAGAAATTAAACATGTCCAGATTGACCAATTTTGTAAGTAGTAAAGCTTGAATCTTAGTTATCTTCGTCTGTAGTTATGAAACTATTGCCCCAAACTGCCTGTTCCAAAACAGGACAAAACGAGGCCACTTTAGTCAATTGACAGTCACAGACACTCATCAATAGGTATCCACCCTGTACTTCCTCCTAATCGGAAGAGAACTGTATCTGTGTGTGCGCGCACACACACATGCACACATATATACCCTGAGACAGTCAGAAAAGAGCAGGTTTTCTCCAAAGAGGAAGACAAACAGTCAAAATATCAGCTTTGACTGAGCTGAATAAGAGCAATGGGGCCATAATCCTCATTTTTTGAGCACTGAAGCACAGTTACAGGGAATTGTTGAAGGGAATTTCTTAGCTAAAGTTGTTCATGTTTCAGTAAGTGTGCAAAGCAGTCTGCTAGCTCCAAAACACTCAGGCTGCCTGTGGGTGGCACAGAAGGAAAAAATGTTGTATTTTTTTCCCAGAAGTAGACTTACATTGTTCACATTGATACAGATTTATTTCTTAAGTTTTCTTATATATATATATATATATATATATATATATATATATATATTACTAATTTAAAATGTTTTCTTTCCTCCCCCACTCTTCTTTGTATCCCCTTATTCCTGTTCCTCTCATCCTCCCTTCTCAAGCTCAGAGCTCTCTGTGTTTGTTGATGGCCACTGGTTTTTGAAAGTGTTTTAAGTTATTGAATTGTTTGCTGTGGAAATGTCCACTATTTTCATTATTGACTTTGCAGCACATTTCTCTCAGCTTCCCACCATTTTGTTGAAAATGGCTGCATTCCATCTCTCCTATGGCTTTATCATACTCGATGGTGTTGGATCCAGCTTTCCATCTCTGAATATTTAGGCTATTTCCATATCCTAGCTATTGTAAGTAATGCAGCTGCAAATGTTGTGGAACGTAAGGGTTTGTGTGCTGTTTGATATTCTCTGGATATAAGGCCAACAAGGAGAATGGTGGGGGATATGGTATTTTCCAGTTTCAGATTTTAAGGTAAATCCTGAAAAATTATTTTCCATAAATTGTTTTACCAGTCTACATTCCCACCATTAATGTAATAGTTACATTACATTAACTTAATAGTTACATTACATTAACAGGGTTTCATTTTCACTGTATCCTAACACTTATTGTTGAGGGTCTTTTTAATATGTGCCATTCTCAAAATGTGAGCTGTCTCTCATTGCAATTTTAATCTATTTCATTGGAAGTGATGATTAACATTTTTTTCATGTCTGTTGACCTTCTGGATATCCTTTTTGGTAAATTGTACGTTCATATCTACTGACCAGGATTATTTGGTTTGGTTGTTGTTGAATTAGGACTTTTTTATGTATCTTGTATGTTGCAGACTTTAAATCTTTGATTCACAGTTTAGTTTTGTGCATGGTGTTAGCAATACACCTTCATTCTTTTCTATGTGGCTTTCCATTTTCCCAGAATCATTTATTAAAGACGCTCTCCCATGTTATGATCATAGCTGCTTTATCACAAATTAGGTGTTCATATACGTGTGCCTTTGTTTCTGGGCTGTTGATTCTATTCCATTGATCTATGGGCCTATTTTTGTGTCAGTACCATGTTGTTTTTCAGACTGTTGGCTTAGAGTGGCTTGAAGTCAGGTAATGCAATACCTCCATTTCTCATTTTTCTCCAGTTTGCTTTTGCAATTTGAGGCTGTTTGTGGCTCCATATAAAATTGAAAAAAATTCCCAGTTTTTTGAAAAGCAACACATGATCAAGTAGAAAATGGACTGAAAGGCTAAAACTTTAAAGGGGAACATAAAATAAAAACAGGCCTACCATTTCTTTAAGGACTATTTTTAATGGGAAATCATTTTTCTACCTAAAACCATGAAGACAAAATAATCTAACTCCTTTCCACATCATAAAAGGAGAAGTCACTGGCTTCAGTGGAATTTACTCTAGTTTATGGTCAAGATCACAAGCTTGACCTCATAGTTTTCACTCCTTTTGAGGTAATTTTGCCTTTGGGGTACTGTTTTACCTTTGTGGAAGAATTGGTACAATTGAAGGGAAAAGCTGTCTGGATATTTTGTAAGGTGCAGCATGCATGCCTAGCAAGGTGGCAAAGGAAGTCACCCCATGTCAGAGGGGGAGGCAGCCGAAAGCCCCTTTACCAGTACTGCTAGTGCCCAGGGTGAGCCTGTCATAGAGGCCTCTGTCGGGCAGGTTCCTGAGGTCTCCTTCTTGCTTCCCAGAATCAGCAAACATTACAGGTATGCATCTGTTAGTGAACTGAAGCTTTTCAGGTCTGCTTTATGCTAATTTCTGCCCAGTCCCATTCACCCAGTCATTCCCTTTACACTTGGCTCCAGAGGCAACTGCGACTCCCTTTGCAGGCCATGTTTTTATACTTTGATTATTCACCAGGGCCCCAGACCATCCACCCCAACCACCTGGGCCGCCCACGCCCGCCACCCAGACCTTCTGCCCCCACCACCTGGGCCATCCACCTCCACCACCCACATGTTTATAAGGGGAAGATGGATTTTGTGATCCAGGGTCCCAGGGAATACCTTCCCCCTCCATCCCTGGAGCCCCCAAGCTACAAGAGAATAAGCCCCCCCCATCAGTGGAGACTTCTGGATACCTTTTACCACTTAAGGGGGGGGGTGTTCACACACAAATAAACCAGACATTTATTTAACTGCCAATAACTTTACTGAAAGAAACGGTAAAACTGGAAGAAAAGGCTGAAACGAGGCATTGCAACGGCAACGCTGTAATCTGAACGCAAACTGGTAAGGAGGGGAAGGCAACGTGCCCCCCCTTCCGGCATGGGCAAGACAGTTCAGTCTCAGTCCATGTTGCGCTCACCCAGGGTGAGCTTGTCAAAGAGGTACTCCGCCAGGCCTTCTTCGGGAGCCCCCATGTTGCGCAGGTTGGTGAGATGGGTCCCCATCTCCTTGATGGACTGGACCTGGTGGTGCAGGAAGTGGGTGCGCAGGAAGGCAGAGAAGTGGGCATCCTTGAGGTCGGTGGCCAGCTGGTGCAGGTCGAGCAGGCTCTGGTTGACGCGCTTCTCCAGGCGCAGGGCGCACTCCAGGGCCATGAGGCCGCTCTCCCAGTTGTCGCGCTCGGGCTTCCTGATGTCGTGGAAGCGCAGGCGGGCCCCGCGCAGGTTCTGCAGCCGCATCAGCTTCCTGGCGTGCTCCTTGGCCTCGCGGGACTGCTGCCGGAAGTACTGGGAGAAATACTTGAGGGCCACGTCGTCGCGGCTGAAGTAGAAGGCCATGGACAGGTACGCGTACGAGGCGTGCAGCTCCAGGTTGATGTGGAGGTTGACGGAGGCCTCGCACTCAGGATGGTAGTTCTGGCGCACGCGTGGCCCTTCGGGGTTCGCCGGGTCTGGTGGCGAGGCCATGGCGGTGATGAAGAAGGCTGAGCAGAGACGGTTGTGGCTGGTCAACGGTTGCTGGCTGTGGACCACGGAATGGCGAGGCCCGTTGGTGGCTTCCGCAGTGAAAGCGGAAGTGACGCAGGTGTACGTGCGGGGACTTCCGTTCTGGGGCGAGGTCAGGGGTCCCTCATGTTACGTGAGTCTGTAAAGGGGAGAGACGTTACGTACGTACGTAAGGGTGAGTGACGTTATGTATGTAAGTATGTGTATAAGGGGGAGTGAGCAGGGAGGAGAATGGGAGGGGAACAGGCGTCGGCGCTGTGTTCCAGGGGCCCCCAGAGCCAGGGTGGGGCAGGACTGTTCTTTGTGCCTGGCTTGCATTTTGTAGTGATGTTTCCATTTGCCAAGATGTTGTTTTGCTCTCTAATTGCTCCTTTTTTTGTATCCTGTTTTCATTAAGACTGCCATCTTCCTTAAAATTTACAGAATACAAATTTGGAATTTTTTTTCCAGTTGTCTTCTGTTTATTGTATTATATCACCCCAACTCCCCATCCCAAAATACTTGTGTTGGTTCAATATGCTCTCCTCTTTCAGTTTCCTAGAATTCTTAAAATTCTACATGTTGTTGTTTACCAAAAAGGACTTGTGGATTAGCTTGGGTAATTAGCATTTCTGATCCGCAGTTTTGATGTCCATTCACTAACAGGGTGCTATTCTGAAAGGAAGGGCAGAGTATGCCAGTATGCCAATTAGGGTGGAGGAGTATTTGTTCGGGATGCATGATGTGGAACTCATGGGCACAGGGACCATCCCCTATGCCAAAAGCATTGCATTTCTTTGACACTGAAGACTGCTATGTACCCCTCTTGGTAGATATGACCTGCTTTGTCTCCACTCTGCTGTGCAGGAAGGCAGTTGACTCCAGCCACCTATAACAGAGGTTGCCTTCATATAAATTGTTGCCTTTGGGATATGGTTTTTGAAGATTAAAGGGAGTCAAATGCCACTGTGGAATAAGAAAAGTATTCCCACCCCCAGACCCCTTACCAAGTACCACTAAGGTGTCTTGGATCTTGGGGGGGGGGTGGGGCGAAGATTACTCTGTTAAACCATTAAAACTCAGAATGTTTGTAAGGGTATTCACCTACTTGAGTACCCAGTCAATGGCACTTCTAGACATCTGCAGGTTATACCCATGGGGCCCCTGTAAGCTCATAGCATTTCCTGTGGAAATGCAGAGCTGAAAGAAGAAAAGTCTAGCTACAGGTCATCACTCGCTCTATTTCTTTTGCTAAATTCAACTTCAATACATGTCAGTCCTTCCCCCTTATTGGAGAGTGTGATGAAAAGTCCCTCAAGGACACATGAAGAACAAGCAGTAAGTTTTCCATTTACCTCAGTGCTTGGGAACAAAGTTTGGTGGGCTATTGGTGCCTAATCTTAAATCAAGGGGCAGGATTCATGACTGACCTTTGATCAATGAGGTGGGGGGTGAGAGAGCTGTGGGTCTCATAGGAACAGAGTGGTGCCCACTGGAACCACATAATTGCAGTAATGTTTTGATGCAGTGCCCTTTAAAAGGCAGGTGCAGGTTGGTCCCTCCCTGGTGGTGCAGTGGGTTAAAGGACAGCAGTACAAAGCTAGCCAAAGCTGCTTCAGCTTGAGTTCAATCCCTGGCCAGGGAGCTGACTCTCATCACACAGCAGACCTCTCCTGTCTTGCCCATAGCAGTATATTTCAGTAGATCTGCCTGTTCTGCTTCCCACTCTGTCTCTGGTGAATCTTCTTCCTTCCCCCGCCCCCCTGCATCTCTGGCTTATACCCGAGTTCTGTAAGCATAAATAAATAGGTCTTTAAAAAAAAAAAAAGGAGGTTGCAGGTCCAGAATGGTGGTGGTAGGGGACAGGCTAATCACATGTACAGGGTTAATAGCATTTAGTCTTCCCTGTTGTACTGTGAGGTCCATAGAGGTAGAAGGAATCCCACATCTATCTGGATTTCTTGGACCTTACAGTATGCCAGTAAGTGAGCAGTAATTTCTTGGACATTTTTTCACTCTGGAAAAAACAGCAGAGAGAAAGGAGCCACATGAGTGATCTCAGAAAGCCCTGTGACAGCCAGTTTGAGACCTCTTTGGGGAATGGAAAATAGCTTCAATTCTGAAATACAGATGGGAAATGCCTTTAAGCAGAGTTCCTGGCAGTGTTGTCCAGGAAGCCCAGGGTACAGGAGCCGGTTCACAGTGAGCACTAGTTAACATAGGTGACCACCCACTTCTATCACCAAATCACCAAGGGGAAGATTTGGTGTGTTCTGCCAGATAAGATGATTTCCTAACATCCTTGCTAATCCTCACAATTCTGTTGGTAGGAATTGTTTCCATCTCTTCCCACATGAGAGAACTAAAATCCAGAATGTAAATTACTTGTGAAGATGATACAGAAAGTAAATCAAAGTCAGATCTGACTCTCATCTATATCCCTGGTGATCTCAGTCACGTCTCCAATAAAATGGGATATAAATAGAACACTGAGTCCGAAAATTTCTTGACCTCTCCTCTTTCGGTAACATGAGCCACAAGCAGCGGTAGCTGTTGTGATTGTGTTGCAGGACAGTTCCCCCCTGCCACACACATACACACTAAGCTCCCTTGGGAGAGTTTGATCTTTTGGCAAGGCCAAATTTCTCCTAGTCAGCAACACAGAACTCTCTCTCCTTACTCAGTTTCTGCTAGGAATTGAGTTTAAGTTAAAAAACAAAACAAAACAAAAAACCCAAAACCAACCCTCATGTCCTGAAGGGTGGCAGTTGGGAATGGAATGAGACCTCTCTGCAGGCAGCCACGTCCTTCACCATGGGTGGGGTGAGGGGGTTGAGGTTGCTCCTCACTGCTCTCACATGCTGGGTAGAACACCCCTCATTGTGTGTTGCTCCTGGTTTCATTATCACACTTTTCTAGGTGAGATTTCCATAGATGGAGGTGGCCTTTTCCTAGTTTAATGGTAATGATCAGTGGCATGTTGTCAGTGTGGAGAAGAGCTTTGGACTGCCTTTCCTCTTAAGACTATAACTAATTTTCTGGAAAATTAAGCAGTTGCTGAGCCTAACTCACTGTCCCTTGGTCAGTCCAACTAATAACCACTATTTGTGAATGCTTATTTCCACAGGAGTGTTATTTTGTGAGATCTCAATATTTTCCTCCCTCTTCTTCTCTCAATTGCATGTAATTAGCCTCACATCATTCCTTAGTGGATTTATGTACCTTTTGGATTAGTCATACCAACTTAAATGTGGCCCACAATTGCCCACTTCTGAGATTTTTTGAGTTTGGGAGTGGTGGGTTAGGGGTGATCGAGCTGATCATTTTTGGCACTACCCTAACATGGATCACCCACCAAGAGACCAGAAAGCAATGGGGATCATCATTGTTCTCGATGTGCTTCTGATAGGTGTTTTAAGATGAAGCACATGTGGGTAAAACGCCTGGTACATCCGTTGCACTCTTTTATTCTGGAAGATGTACCAGTGATTCCTCTGTCACACGTGGCCAGAAACTTGACTCTTGTAGTAGAGAGTTCTTAGTAATTACCCCCAGGGACCACCTCACTACTTGTCTAATGGCCGTTTCACCCAAGGAGTTTTGTGGGTGTGGGCGAAGGGCGAAAGGGACAAGGTAAACTGCAGAAGTCTTGGTAGTGGAGGCTGTGCCCACGAGGTGCCACATCTTATTTTAGCTCCTCTGAGCAGAGGTATCTTCCAAAGATAGAAGCGTAAAATATGCTTTTTTAATACGAAAAGTATTGTCACTTTCTTGTTACATTTGCTTCTCCACTTAACATGTGACAATGTGTGGCCAGCAAGGCAGAGGGCAGTTAGAGAGTGATGGCAAGTGGCCTGCCAATCCCTATGTTCCCTGAGCTTTAAGTGCTCGATAATGGCTTCACAATTGACAGTGACCTTTATAAGTACATAGATGCTCTTGTGATGAAGAAAATACAAATTTATTTATTTTTAAAGATTGATTTATTCATATAGAAGTGGAGTACAGGTCAGAGGTATGGGGATGGTGAGAGGATTCACCAGAGACAGAGTGGGGAGAAGAACAGGCAGATCCACTGAAATGCACTGCTGAGGGGAGCAGCGGGCAGGTGGGTCAGGAGAGGTCAGCTTCATAGTGCTGCGTTTTACCCTATTGCACTACCAGAGATGGCCAGAAAATACAAATTTATTTAAAAGTTTCTTGTAGGCATCTGCCGTATACTTCTAACCCTGGGATGATGTGAAGATATTTCTGTTCTCTGCCTGAGATTTTTCTTTTGCTCCAGGGGTGCTGTACTGTCTGTGCCCCAGGAGCAGCCCTCAAACAAGCAGGAACAGCAGTTGGTGCGTGCACCCTCCACATCCCTTGCCATGAAGGGATGCTCATGCTCCCTCTGTCTCGGGGCCTCCCTGAGGGGCATGAGACTTGGGCCTCGGGCAGCCGTCTGCTCAATAACTTCTCCAGCTTGGAGTCTCTCCCTGGCCTGCCTCAGCTCTTCATGCTCCTGCGTGTTTCTCTGTGTCAGCTTCTGAACAAACTACTTGTGACCCGATCCTTGTTGCCAGGGTCTACTTGGGAGAATAGCAAATCAGTCTCCTGCTCATAGGTCTCATTGTTAGGGATTTTTGTTAAGTAGATATTACTGTCTCTCATGCTCTGTGTGTTGAGAGGGGATCTTAGTCTCACTTAAAGACCTTTTATATTTTTTCACTGACTTTTCTTGAGGTAACATTGGTTTACAACCTGTACATGACTTGGGTACAGGTTCACAACTCTCAGATGTATGTGACCTCACTGTCCACCAGCAAAGCACCAACAATCGCCTTCTGTAGTCCTTTTGTGTCTCCTTGGCTGCAGCCGCCTTTAACAGCCTCAATTCTGCAGTCATATTTTCAGGGGTTTGCTTTGGTTTTGTCTGTTCCTTTGTTTCGTTTCTTTATATTCCAAATATAAGTGAAAGCATCTGTTTTTTTTTTTCCTTT